CCAACCTGAGCTCCCAGCCCTGACTATGCCATTCAACCTCAAACCTCTGGACATGTCAGAGTCTTAGGATTTGATGGGATTATAAAGGCTACGTAGTCTGTCCCTATGCCTCTCTATTGGATGTTTGAACCCTAAATTTGTTGCAACAACATGTTGCAAGTAACATAAAAGCCCATTCAAAGTAGCTTAAACGGTAACATCCAGAGGCCCTCTACCTTCAGGCGAGGTGTGACGCAGCAGCTCAGTGATGTCATAAGGAGCTGTTTTTCTCTCTTTCCTCTCTGTCTTCTGTGGTGCTGACCTCATCCTTAGGGGCCTACCTCACATCCCAAGATGTTTTCTTTGTCACAGCTAGTCACTCTTCCTTGTTTATTTCCAAGAGGAGGGAAAGTGCCTAGTATTCCCACTGGAAGTTCCGAGATGTATTCTAAGTGGAGCAGCTTAATCACATGCACAGCCTGAGTCAAGCACCGATAGTGGTGGAGAGATGACAGGTTCTCTTGATGTAGACCAAGCTGAGTTTTCCTCTCCCAGGACCACGCAGCTCCTCTAAGGGGAACTGGGCCTGACGGATAGGGAGAAGGGGCAGGGGAAATGGATGCTGGAGAAGCCAGGCATCAAATGGCCCTTCGAGTCTCTTACAGTTTCCCTGCTGAGTGGTCTTCCAGACTCAGTTCAACGTCTCCCAGGCCTCCTCCACCAGGCTGCACTCCAGCTTTTGTCAAGGGGACCTTTCTTGGATTTGAGACCTTTCTTGTTGACATGTCTCCTCCTGGGAATCCAACCTTTGGTTCTGTCTCCGTCCTCTGAGTCCACAAGAGCAGTCTGGCCCTCTTGTTCATGGCAGCCTTTCAGAGACAGAGCAGGGAATCAAAGTCACCCTGTCAGCCCTCTCCTCAAGGTAAAGCTTCCCACTTTCCTGTCGTTCAACACCGGACTCAAGCGTGTCACCTGGGCATGTTTACCCAACTTCTCCAGACCTCATCAGCCTCACTGATCAGGGCTGGGGCAACTGTAGCTTCTCAGACTGATGGGAAGCCGTGTGATGGGGGTCTGCAAAGTCCCTGAAAAAGTATTCTACACATCTAAAGCCTTGGTTTTACTGGAGGTTTTCTTTTCCCTCCAATGGAAATCTAAAACATTTTAATTTTAAAAACATTATGTGAACAACTCAACAATATAAGGACAAATAACCCAATTAAAAATTGTACAAAGGATTTGCAGAGACATTTCTCCAAAGAAGATATACAAACAGACATGAAGAGATACTCAACATCATTAGCTCTTAGGGAAATACAAATCAAAACCACAATGAAGTATCACTTCACACCCACTAGGATGGCTGTAAGAAGAGAGACAATAATAATTGTTGGCAAGATGTGGAATACCACAGACTGCTGGTGAGAATGTAAAACAGTACAGGCTCTTTGGAAAACACTTTGATAAATCCTCACAAAATTAAACACAGAGTTACCATATGACCCAGAAATTCCATTCCTAAGTATAGGCCCAAGATAACTGAAAACATATGTCCACATAAAAAACTAGTATGTGAATATTCATAGTAGCATGATTCATAAAGGCAAAAATGTGGAAACAATCCAAATGTCTTTCAACTGATGAATGGATCAACAAATGTGGTTTATCCATATGGTGAAATCTTATTCAGTCATAAAAAGGAATTAATTTACAACATGGATGAACCTTGGAACTATGATGCTAATTGAACAAAGCCAGACACAAAAGACCACATATTTTATGATTTCAATTATATGAAATGTCCAGTAAAGGAAACCCATAAAGACAGAAAGAAGATTATTGGCTGCCAGGGGCAAAGGGGAAGGGAAAATGGGGAGTGACTGCTACTTGGCACATGGTTTATTTTTAGGAAGATGAAAATGTTATGAGCTGTACACTCTGAAAGGGCAAATTGTATGATATGTGAATGTCATCTCAATAAAAAGAGCTCCATTCATGTTTAAAAAGTAACAGTTGCAGATATGGAATAAAACATAGACTCCATATGAGTATTTTAAAAATATTTTTGTTGTTTTCCCACTACAATATTGTAATGTAATTAGCCTCAATTAAAATAATTAAAAAAATATATTTTTGTTGTTTTTGTAAAACAAAGATGTTTATTGTAAAAAATTTTTTCAAATAATAAAGTTGAAAAAAAAACACAACTCAGAATCCTTTGCCAGTTCCATACAGAGAAAAACACAGTGGTAATCATTACTAACATTTTAGCAAACATCCTTCCAGGCACCTTGCTAGTGATGCTGTCATGGATACTGACCAGTGTACACTTTTCTGTACAAGGAACTGAACCTTACAGTGGGGGCTTTATTGGTCTGTGCAAGCCCCCTCTCTGCCTTTTTCCCCTCCCATCCCATTTCCTGCCCTCTCAACCATCATTCGTTTTTACCTGTGCCTTGGAGGTGTTATAAAATGTTATCAGTTTGAAGGATGCATTCTGATGTATCTTCCACACATATACATGGCTAGAGAGAAGCGGGCGGGGGGAGTTGTTACATATCTCATTCTATTTCTTTCCTCTGGTGCCAAGCACCATGTGTTTAAGATGGATCCGTCCAGTTGCTGTATGTTCATCTGATGTGTTGCTCTTTCTCAGCATTTCTCAACCTTGGCACTGACGTTGGGGCTGGACCGTTCTTCATTGTGGGGGCTGCCCTATGCCCTGTGGGGTGATTAGCAGTATCCAGTAGGTGCTAGCTGCTCCTTCTCCCCAGCTGTGACAATCAAAACTGTCTCCAGATATTGACAACTGTCCTCGGGGTCCAGGGTCAAAATCTCCCTAGTTGAGAATCCTTGCTTCTTGTCAACTTGTGTACCAGAAACAGAATATGTGCTGCAGCTAGACATCCAGAAAAAAAAGAGGCCTGGCTATAGCAAAATTCCCTTTCGAATGTTCTGAGTGTCAGCACCTTGCTGCCATCCAGCTGAGCCACACTGGGTGGAAATGTGTGGGGTATGAGGAACTGGTCTTTGAGCTATGCATAAAATCCTTTAAGGGTAAAATCATTTATTCCTTCAGCCAACGTTTACTGAGCAGCTACTATATGCCAGATACTCGTCTTGGCGCTGGGTAAACAGTCAGCTTTCAAGGAGCTTACCCTCAAAGTGGGAAATAAAATAAATAATAAACAACTGTTGCTACTCAACAGCAAGTGCTATGAAGAAAGTTGTATCTGAATAAGAAAGCAGAGATGGGAGCATAGGAAGGCCTGAGGAGGAAGTCCTCCTGAGGACTTGAACGTGAGATAGGATGCCAGTGTGAAGGTTAGGGGAAAGCTTTCTTGAGATCAACAAAATTAAAAATGCACTTTCCTTTTTACCACACAGATTCTCATTGCATTTTGATTTGGAGGAGAAATTAGGACATGTCATGATAGGAAGAGCTTAGGATTCTACAGTGAGCACCTACTACTGTCTCTCCTTATCAGACTTCCTGGGATGGACGCAAGATCAGCTGCAGCTGAGCTCAGAATGAGCTCAGAACTCTCATTCTCCAGCTAAGAACCTCTGATGAATGCAGTCCCACTGATAACTGGATATGTATTCCAACAAGTAGTAGCAGTATTCCATGAGGAGAAATATCCCAAGTGTTCTAACCCAATTGCTCTTGAAGCATATTTATATTGTTTCTAATTTTTCACCATTATACACCACAGCTGCATGGATCTGATGATGAAACTCGGGCCTTTGAGGACCTGTTGGGTCTGCCAAGGACTGTTCTGTGCTCTGCCCCCTCCCTACTTCCGGCTCTGTCCTCAGCTCCACCCTTAGCTTCTGGAGGAAGGGTGGACTGCTGTGTGCCTTGATCTCCCCCCTGGCAGTCTTTAGTGAGAACACCTGGTAGCCGCTCTCCTCCTCCCCAGTTTCTGAGTCTCCTGCAGAACAGGAACCCAGAACCATGGGCGGGCTGGCAAGTCAACCCGCTGACCCCAGTAACAGAGGGAGCCGAGGACAATGGGAGCCCTCGGAGGAGGCGGAGGCTCCTGCGGTTCCCCTTGTGAGCTGCTGCCTGGGGCCGCCTGTGTCAACAGCCAGGGGTCTCTACCCTGATCCTGTTGGGGACAGCCTCCCCGCTTTGCCTGCAGGGAACGGCCTGGGGATGTGGACGTGGAGGCTCTCCCTGGAGAGGTTGCTGCTATCAAACCCAATGAGAGGGACTAGTGAGCCATGACTTGTCAGATCTTATGACTTTTTTTTGAAGTAAGTCAGGATCCAGATTTTTAAGGATTGACAATCAGTATTTTAGGGCTTCCCCGGTGGCTCAGCAGTAAAGAATCTGCCTGCCAACGCAGGGGATGTGTATCCGATCCCTGGGTGGGCAAGATCCCCTGGAGGAGGCAATGAAACCCACTCCAGTATTCTTGACTGGGCAATCCCATGGACAGAGGAGCCTGGCGGGCTACAGTCCAAGGGGTCACAAAAGAGTTGGGACATGAGTGAGCGACTAAAACAACAACAATCAATATTTAAAAATACATGCAACATGGTAGGTGTCAGCCAGAGTACAGCCTTCGACTGGACCATCTGTCTGTGCTCTCAGCTGAGACGCACTCACACAGAGAACTCATGGATCCCAGGCAGCTGCTTTGGAACCAAACCACACCAACCAGGCAAGAGACGGCACGGGGTCCTGGAGTGCCAGAGCCAGGGGTGGCCTCCCTGTGGCACGGGGTGGGGGGTGAGACGGACAGTGGGCCAAAGTGAAGGGACGTGCCCAGCATCACAGCGGTCTCCTGCCCCCAGCTCGGGGCGGCCTCTCTCCTAGGCCTATTGCCCAATCCCCGTTGCCTCTTAGTCACTGGTATTTTGGAATGTTGGCTAACACCGGGCGCCTAGCAAAGGAAGAGACAGGCCCCTTTGAGGAAGGCCTCAGCCCTGCATGTCGCCAGCAGGCCTTGGGCAAGGCTGCGTGTTTACCACCTAAAAGGGGCTGCAAGTGGCAGAGGATCTGAGAAGCGACAATGGCAGGGACTTGGAAGGCCCTGGTGCTTGTGGCAGGCTTGGCGGCTGTGGCCTGCCTGGCCCAGCGCAGTCTGAGCTATGACGAAATTGTCACCCAGGCCCTGAAGTTCTTCAATCAGGGGCGGCGAGGTCAGCGCATCTTTGGCCTGCTGGAAAGCACCCCGCCGCCACCTGACTTGGTGAGTGTCAGGGCCCAAGCCCGGGGAGCGGGTACTGTCTACCTCACAGCATCCCGTGAGGCCAGTAGGCAGGAGCGAGTGCCCCACACAGGCACAAAGTGCTTGATTAACAGTAGATGCTGTTATTACTATAATGTTTCTCAATCCAGAAGGTAAAACAGAGACTGCAATCTCTCTCCAGCCTGACAGCTGGCTAGCTGATCAATTCCGGGATTTGCCCAAGGCTGGAATGTGGGGTCTGGCAGTCCATTCTGCACGCAGGCCCTGGATTGAGGGAGTAAGCAGAGCTGTTTCAAAGGATGGACAGGAGCCGACTGGTCCCACCAGCACCTCACCAGAGCCTTCCAGGGTCCCCCTTCCCACTCCCTTACCTCTCTCCTGGCAGTTAAGTGTGGGAGGCAAGTATTCTAGCTCCTTGGGCACAGAAGAGGAAACTGAGGTGCAAAGACAGGAGGCGACCCCTCAAGGTGGTCCAGCCATGAAGTGGTGGCCTCCGCTGGTTTCCAGGAGTCCTGCATGCCTTCAGTCTCTGCTGCGGCCGTTCGGAGCGGCCGCCTCCCTCAGGTGGGACGTGCAGACCCCGGGCAAGTCCTTTCCAGCGTGGAGCTGTGATCTCTCCTCCCTGACTTTGTTCTCTCCTGTGTAAAAGGGACGTGACCGTGACTCTTCTCCTGCTTCTTTAGAACGCCACCACCATCCCGCTCAGCTTCAGGATTAAAGAGACTGTGTGCTTTCTGCTCCGGTACCGCCGACGGCCCCGACAGTGTCCTTTCAGGGAGGGCGGGGTGAGTCGTCCGTCCATCTCCTGGCTCCCTGCCCCAGGGAGGGGGACAAGGAACTCCCCTCCTCTCGCGCCTCCTTCCCAGAGGCCGTGTTTGCTTCCACCCACTCACAGACTTGACTGTGGAAGCTTTTTTAAAAAATATTGGGTTTTTCCTTATGGCTTTTTCTTACTACAAATTATCAATCCTTACTAGAAAAGCAATACATGCTAACAAAATGACTAAATATTAAAAGAGAAAGAACAAAGGGGGACCATAATCCACCTTAGTTCAATTCAGTTGCTCAGTCATGTCTGACTCTTTGCGACCCCATGGACTGCAGCCTGCCAGGCCTCCCTGTCCGTCACCAACTCCTGGAGTCTACTCAAACTCATGTCCGTGAGTCAGTGATGCCATCCAACCATCTCATCCTCTGTCATCTCCTTCTCCCATCTTCAACCTTTCCCAGCATCAGGGTCTTTTCAAATAAGTCAGCTCTTTGCATCAGGTGGCCAAAGTATTGTAGTCTCAGCTTCAGCATCAGTCCTTCCAGTTGAATATTCAGGACTGATCTCCTTCAGGATGGACGGTTGGATCTCCTTGCAGTCCAAGGGACTCTCAAGAGTCTTCTCCAACACCACAGTTGAAAAGCATAAATTATTTTTTAGTTTTTGTTGATGATTTTATAATCCACCCAGATAACTGCTTTTCTAAAATTAGGAAAATATTTTATTATAGCAACCTAAGAAAACTTAGAGAAGCGAAGTAAAAAACAAAAAATCTGCAACCCCACTACTCAGGAGACAACATGAACTGTTGGTGTATCATCTTCGGTACCTTTCTGATGTACACACGATTGCTTTAAACAATATAAGTCCCTCTCGGCTAATTTATGGAGACCCTTTCCCGTGTAAGAACCTGCATGAAAGTCCTCAATGCTATCGGGCGCGCACGGAGTCTGCCCGGGTGTCCCCAGCGGCCGCTGCTCCCTCCGGCGTCTAGCGGGTGGCTTGGAGCTCGGGAGCCGGGGGACCCGGGCCAGGGCGCCGTCCGCTGCAGCCCGTGTGCTTGCTCCCCGGCAGGAGGAGCGGAACTGCACCGGCGCCTTCTTCATGCTGCGGCAACTCCGCCTCCTGTCGCTCAACTGCGTGCCGGACGGTGAGCTGAACCAGGAGGTGAGCCCCTGCGCCCTCACCTGCCCCAGTTCCGGTCCCGGCGGCGCTCTGACTGGTGACCGCCAGTGATCGAGGGTCCCTCACTCGGGCCACTGACTTAGGCCCGTGGAACCTCAGTTCTGGAGGCCCCAGACCTTAGACCTGGAAACTGAACCAGTCTAAACGCCTGTAGTCTGGAGGGGAGAGGCGTGGCCAGACCTTGATGATTGATGGCTAGTCGTTTGGCTGAGGGGGATCCGGGCAGGGACTGATGGTCTCCTCCGGGGGTGGGAGAGGACTCAGTCTTCCACCGGCTGTTCTCTGGGCCCTGAGCTCTGGTAACCCGCCTCCCCATCCCACTTTTGGGAAGACAAGCCGGAGGTGGAGCCTCCTGATAAGTGAGTGCAATAGCCAGGGTGGACAAGAGTGGCAGGCCTTCCTAGCCCCTCTGGGCTTTGGGGGGAGGGCCTGACTGGGGACCCCTCCAGCGCCATCACCAAGGTCACTGCCTGGGCCTCAACACTCATCCCCACCTGGGGAGAGAGGGGCTGCACGTGGGATAGGAAAGTGGCGGGGGGGGGGGGGGAGGGCGGGGCGATGGATGAGGGTGCTCACCGTGGCATCACTTCTGCAGCCCCGCCGGGTGAGGCGCTCTGCTGGGTCCTCTGGGGAAGACCCTCCGGAACTTGACAGCTCCAGTCTGCCACCTGTGGCCAGGGAAATGTACGAGAGAGCCAAGTACGACATCATCTCCAACATCCTGAGGAATTTCTAGGGCTGGAGAAGGGAAGGGATGCCCTGCAAGCCCACAGCGACCTGCCCTCCCCCCCACCCCCGCCCATTCTCTTCCTCTGCTGCCCTCAGCACTCCCTGGCCTGCAAATGAGCCCCCCATACTCCTCTGCCTTTGCATACCTGCTTCCCTCTGCTGGGGATTCCTGCCCATCCCATGGCTGTGGATGCTCCACATCCTTCCAGGCACAGGTCCAAAGTCACCGCCCCAAGGAAGCCTCTCTGCTCTTCCTGAGCAGCACGTGTCCTTCCCTTGTCCGTGGTGCAGTCACAATCCTTAAACCACGCTGGCAAGTACCAGCTGCGTCCCGGGCTACAGAGCACTGTCTCTCCTGCCAGCCGGGCCCTCCTGTGCCAGCTGCAGGTGGCTGGCGAGGGAGTTTCTCTGCCAAGTGCTCCTGAATCCCGGGAGGGCAGTTCTCTCTGGGAAGGACCCTGAGTGCCCCTGTTCCCTGCCCAGTCACTGTGATGACGAAATGCCCCTTCATATATCTGGCACCCCAAGAGGGGGCCAGGGCATCCTCTGCTGAGAGCGACAGGAGTGAAACTCAATAAAACGTTTCTAAGTGAAAAGATTATGTGAATAAGCGAATGAATCAAGTGTCAGGGCTGGGCCAGGTGGACTCGGGATGAAGAGACCAATGAGGCAGGTCCTGGGGGTGGGATTCCACTTTGCATCTTGGGCACACAGACTCCCTGAGGTCAGGGCAGGGACAATGAAGAGAAACAGGATAATGAGGGGCGCCATCTGAGGGCCATCTTGGGTGCTCAAGAAGGCATAATAACCTGCCCCCAAGTTACTCTAGAACCACCTTTCTTTCCTTCCTCCTGCTACCTTTATTCTTCCTCCTTTATCATAAAGTTCCAGCCAGAACCTCTTCCGGATCCCCAGACTTGCACGTCAGATGGCCTCACAGATGCCTCCCCATGGACGTCCCAGGGGTGCCACCCATTCAGAATCTTCCCTCCAGACCAGGCTTGTTAGTGCCCAGCCCAATCCAGCTGATGGCAGCCTCATCCGCCCAAGGACCTGAGCCTTGCTCAGACTCTCTGCTGTCTCAGGGAGAGTCTGGTCTTGGAGAGAGAGTCTCTCTCCTGATGGTTCCTATCCATTCAGCCCTGAGAAGACGGCCTGGCACATTGCTCAGTAAACACTTGTTGAGTGGACAAAAGCCTTTCTATTCACCAGTAGGCCCCCCTTTTCAAGTCTTTGCTAGAGAAATATCTGTGGGAAACTCTCTCATTTGAGGGGCCATTGTGTAGAGCCCCTTGGGGGAATAGGTTTTTTTCAGACAGGGCTTCCCTGGTAGCTCACCTGGTAAAGAACCCATCTGCAATGCTGGAGACTCTGGTTCACTTCCTGGGTTGGGAAGATCCCCTGAAGAAAGGAGAGGCCACGAACCCCAGGATTTCTTGCCTGGAGAATCCCATGGACAGAGGAGCCTGGTGGGCTACAGTCTATGGGGTCGCAAAGAGACGGACATGACTGAGTGACTAAGCACAGCACAGGAAAGCCAAGGACTCCTATTAATGATAATAGCCATGATTTATGAACGCTGCTTCCCACACAGTGAAGAGAAACACACTTCTCAGGTCTTAGAACAGTATTGCCATGTGCATGCGTCAGCAGCAAATTTTAGTGAGAAAAGTACGCCTCAAGGAAATTGGCTGACTCGACTGTAGTCCACACTCCAAGCCCCTTGTCGTCTAAATCTTAGGGAGCACCAGTGGAGGGTGAGAGGGGTGGGGGATGTTGCAGGGAGTGACCCTCGGGTGGGAAATGGGCAGGTTTGGGTGGGCCAGGATAAACTAGACCTCAGACCATCTCTCCCTGTGGTGGGGCGATGATGTTCACCTGGAGAAGGCCCTTGTAGCCCCACAGAAGGTGCCAGCAGCTGAGGCACACCATGTATCACTCCCTGGCCTGACCTCCACCCCGAGAGTACTCCCAGGCCTCATCCAGGTCTTCTGTGGGGCCCTGGACACTAATGGGGCTCAGCAACTTCTCCCTGGAAGTTCAAGACTCATCTGTGGCCGTCAATGTCGCATCACATGAGGTCTGGGGAAGCTGGCCCATCATACTGTACCTGAGTCGGGGAGATCCCCTGGAGAAGGAAATGGCCACCCACTCCAGTATTCTTGCCTGGAGAATCCCATGGGCAGAGGAACCTGGCAGGCTACAGTCCATGGGGTCGCAAGAGCTGGACAGGACTTAGTGACTAAACCACCATCATCACAAACAGATACAATGTGATACAATGTGAGCTTTATTTTTAAAAGAAAAAATGACCATAGTCATTTTATGTCCTATTTTACAACCAGCTTATTTTCATTTAACCTATCAGCTAATACACTTCAGTCACTATTGGCTCACATTTTTTTTTTTCCTGTCTTATGCTTCATTGGGTGACTAGACTTCCATTTATTTAAATCGCTCCTGCTGTTGAAGTTGTTTCCCATTTTTTGCTTTGTTTTTAAGCAATGCTGAGATAAAAATAAGTTCCTAGAATGGAAATAGTATCAGAGTGTATGAGCATCTTAAGAGCTTACTGTGTTGCTAAATTACTACCTCGGATTGTAGACAGCAGTTAAGCAGTATTGCTCTTCTAGCAGTTTTATTTAAGCTACTTGGAAACAGGGAATGGACTGAGTGCCCAGCCACTGGAGGAATGGTTAAGTAATTTGTGGTATACTCACTGGATTGCATATTGTATAGCCTTTAAGGTAAATCTGAAGACAATGTTAAATCAAGGAAAATACTTGTGTTAGACTGGAGCAAAGGACCTGCTAAGCTGGGTTTGTCCCCACGTGATGGAGACCACAGTGCCCTTGGAGTCCACAGGTCCCCTCATCATCTCGGCCTGAACTGCACCCCAGGATCTGGAGCCCTAGGTGAGACAGTAAACCCTGGGGACTCAGAAGCCACAGTGCAAATCAGTGTCCAACTGTTTTTTTTTTTTTAACAGCTTTATTGAGCTGTAATTGACATAGAATAACTTGCACATATTCAAAGTATACATTTGATAAGTTTGACATAATGTACATCTGTGAAACCATCCCCACAAGATAGCGCACATACCCACTATCTCTCCAAAGTGTCCTCACACCACTTCAAATTCTCTGATTCCTGCCCAACACCCTCCTTATCAATCCTGCTGTCCTCAAGCAATCAGTGACCTACTTTCTGCTGCTAGATGGTAGTTTACATTTTCTGCTTGTTGTTCACCCAGTCGTCTCCGTCGTCTCCGACTCTTTGTGACCCTATAAACTGCAACATGCCAGGCTTCCCTGTCCTTCACCAACCTGCAGCTTGCGCAAACTCATGTCCATCAAGTCGCTGATGCCATCCAACCATCTCATCCTCTGTCGTCCCCTTCTCCTCCTGCCTTCAATCTTTCCAAGTATCATGGCCTTTTCTAATGAGTCAGCCCTTCCCATCAGGTGGTCAAAGGACTGGGGCTTCAGCATCAGTCCTTCCAATGAATATTCAGGACTGGTTTCCTGTAGGATTGACTGGTTTGATCTCCTTGCAGTCCAAGGGACTCTCAAGAGTCTTCTCCAGCACCACAGTTTGAAGGCATCAATTCTTCGGCCTTCTTTATGGTCTAGCTCTCACATCCACACATGACTACTGGAAAAACCATAGCTTTGACTAGACGTCTGGACCTTTGTCAGCAAAGTAACATGTCTGCTTTTTAACATGTTGGTCACTGCTTTTCTTCCATGGAGCAGGTCTTTTAATTTCATGGCTGCAGTCATCGTACACAGTGATTTTGGGGACCAAGAAATAAAGTCTGTCACTGTTTCCATTCTTTCCCCATCTATTTGCCATGAAGTGCTGGGTAGAGTTCTATATAAATGGAAATCTGCTATAGACTGGAGATTTTTGTTCCCCCAAAATTCACATGCTGAAATCCTAACCTCTAAAGTAATGGTGTTTGCAGACTGGGCATCTGGGATGTATTGATATTAGGTCATGCGGGCTCTGGGATATCTGATGTTATAAAAGGGACTGTAGAGAGCTCGCATGCCATCCCCGCCATGTGAAGACACACGGCAAAAAGGCGGCTGTCTGTGAACCAGGAAGCGGGACCTCACTAGACACTGAATCTGCCAGTCCCTTCATCTTGAACTTCCCATCCTCCAGAAGTGTGAGAAATACCTTTCTGCTGTCTGTAAGCCAGTCAGTCTTTAGTAATTTTTACAGCAGCCTGAACAGACCAAGACAGAGCACACAGTGATGCCCTCCTTTCTGACCGGCTTCTTTCACTAAAGCATCATGATTGATTCTTTCATGTTGCATCAAAACGTCAGTCATTCCAGTCTCCTAAGAGAAGTGGGTATCCACCCTCAGTGGACCTGGAGACACGTGAAAAAACTGAATTAGAAATTCAGAGTCATCCTTCAAATAACAGGCCCAGATGGCTTCACTGGTGAATTCTATCAAATATTTAAAAAAATAATACTAATTCTTCACAAACTCTTACAGTAATAAAGAAGGCGGAAACACTTTACTCATTCTATGAGGCCAGTACCACCGGCCAAGGGCATCTCAAGAAAAGAAAACTACAGAATATAGCTCTAGTGAACACAGATGTATTATAAAAAACTACTTTAAAAAATATCAGCAAGCTATTCAGCAACATAAAAAGGACTGTACACCATGACTGAGTGGGATTTATTCTAGGAATTCAAGGTTTTATCAGTATCTTGAAAATCAATTAATGTTATATACCATATTAACAGCTGAAAGGACAGGAAAAGCTGATAGGTGCAGGATAAGCATCTGATGAAATCTAATACCTATTCATGAGAAAACCTCACCTACGTGAGAACAGAATGCAATTTCCTTAACTTGAAAAAGGTCACTGATGAAAACCCCACAGCTTAACATATTCACTGGTGAAGGACCATGTTTTCCTACCTAAGACTGAGAACAAGGCAACGATGTCTATTTCTGCCATTTGTACACCTCACTGTACGGCAGGTTCTTTTCTATTTTTTTTTCAGCCAGGTCATGCAGCTTGTGGGATCTAAATTCCCCAACCAGGATTAAACCCAGGCCATGGCAGTGAGAGCTCTGAGTCCTAACTCTTAGGTTACCAGGGAACTCCCTATGCTGGAAGTTCTAGCCAGTGCAACAAAGCAGGAAAAAATTAAAGGCATCTATATTGGAAAGAGAAAAGTAAAACTGTCTTTATTCACAGATGGAATGTCATATGCGTAGAAAATCCCAAGGAATACATATATGTGAAAAAAATTTTTAAAGATAAAGAAAGACTTTAAAGGGAATTCCCTGGTAGTCTAGTAGTTAGGAGTTCCCCGGGGTTAGGATTTGGGGCTTTCACTGCCACGGCTCAGGTTCAATCCCTGGTTGGGGAACATCCCTCAAGCTGTGCAGCACAGCCAAAGAAAGAAAGAATAACTAATGAGTTTGGCACCATCACAGGATACAAGATCAATACACAAAAACCAATGGTATTTCCAAATACTAGCAAAAAAACACCTCCCCAAATAAAGTCAAGTCAGTGTAGTTCCATCCACACAGCATAAAAAACAAAAGCAGTTAGGATCAACTTAACAGAAGGAAGTACAACACTTCGAAAATGAGAAAATATTGCTGGGAGAAATCAAGGAAGATCTAAACAAATGACAAACATTAAATGTTCGTGGACTGGAAGACTCTGCATTGTCAGGATGCTAATTCTCCCCAAACTGATCTATACATTCAACACAGTATCTATTAAAAACCCGGGAAACTTTTTGTAGAAACTGACAAACTGACCTATAAAGCTAATAGGAATGCAAAGTACCTAAAATATTCAAAAGGATTTTTTAAAATAACAAAGTTGGAGGACTTACATTATCTATTTTTAAGACTTACTTTAAAGCTGGAAAACTCAGTACCATACAGTCAGCATGGTATTGGCTCATGGACAGGCATATAGATCAGTGGAACAGAACTGAGAGTCTAGAAAGAAACCTTTATATTTATGGTTAACTGATTTCAACAAAGGTACCAAAGCAATTCAATGGAGGAAGAGATAGTCTTTGCAACAAATGTGCTGGGACAAATGGATACACACACATAGACACAAAATGAACTTTAAAATTAACTTAAATGGATCTACACCTACACAAGAGCTAAAATTATAAAACTTCTAGAATTTCTTTATGACCTTGGGTTAGGCAAAACTCTTTATAAGATAAGACACCAAAGAGTACAATCCATAAAAGAATATATAAAACTAAACTTAATCAAAATTAAAAACTTCTACAACACTATTAAGATATTATTCTTCAACACTATTAAGAAAATGAAAAGATGAGCTATAGTCTGGGAGAAAATATTTGCAAATCATTTATCTGATAAAGGATTTTTATCTAGAATACGTAAAGAATTCTTTAACTCAGTAAGACATATGACCCAACTTACAAAGGGGTAAGTTTTCAGTAGATATTTTATTACGGATATACAAATGGCTAACAAGAACATGAAAAGATGCTCAAAAACCATTAGCCATTAGAGAAATACAAATTGTCAAGTTTCTTAAAAGGTTAAACATAAACTTACCGTATGTATGATCCAACAATTCTGCTCCTAGCAATCTGAGGAAGGAAAATGTATGTCCACAATAACTTGTACATCATAGCAGTATTGTTCATAAAAGCCCCACACTGGAAACAAATTAAATATTCATCAACTGGTGAAAAAAAAAATGGATAAACAAAAAGTGGTATATGCATACAGTGGAATACTATTCACAGGAACAATAAAATAAAAAAAACAAACTACCAATACCTTCTATGACATCAATGAATCTCAAAAACAGTATTCCAAGGAAAGAAGCTAGACACAAAAGACCACATATTGTATGACCCCATTTATATGAAACATCTAGAACAAGCAAATCCATAGAAAGAGAAAGCAAAATAGTGGCTGGCCAAGAATGAGGGTGAGAATGGGGACTAACCGCATACGGGCGCGAGGAAACTTGATGGAGAGATGAAAATATCGTAACACGGGGCAGCAGCAATGGTTGCACAGCTCTGCACATTTACTACCAGCTACTGAACTGCACACTTACAATGAGTGAATAAATTACACCTCAATAAAATTATTTTTAAAAACCCAGTGATGCAAAACAAAGGGAAACTAGGAAGCGTGACTAGATGAACTTTGGATCTGCAAATACACCTGACTGCCCTCAAGTTCTTCAAGAAAACAATGGTTGTGTCTCTTCTATGTGTCTGAGGCTGGCACACAGTAGAAGTGACTCTTAAGGAGCTCACCATCTCGTGGGTGAGACAAGCACGCAGCCCACTGCCCAGCTGGGGTTCTGTTAGAAACAAGCGCGGAGGAGACGCACCAGGCCGACCGGAGAGGCCGGACCACAGCAGCCTTCTCTGCCCTGCTAGCTGGTTTGCGTCTTCACCCTGAACTGCAAACCGAGAAAAAGTGAGTTAAACGGGGAAGCGAGCTCCATTAGAGAAAAACATTTTGTGTCATCACTTGAGATGAAATAGGGAACAGTAAGCCTGCGAGATAATTGGTGAGAACCGTGAGATTCCCCTGCCACTTTTCGGCTGGGGACAACTGTGTTATTGTGAGCAGCAGTAAAAACCAGTGCTGCTGGTCTCTGGGGTGAAGAGGAGTGGGCTCTGTTGCTAGTTGTGAAGGCAGAGTTCAGTGAACAACAACAGAGAAACGGAAAGTCAAGCAGATGAGCTGAACCAGGGCTCCCTGGGCCACCCTGGGCTCCTAGGTTCTGAGCAAAGCGGCCTAGGTTATGTGGAAAGGGCTGTTAGCACATCACAGGCATTTGACCTTTCTTCCACAGCCCAGAGCCCACAGCTAATCTGGTTTCCTGCTTTGACACAAAGGTACCTGTTTCCATAATCCAAACATGGTTTCTTCTCTCTCCCTCGCTGCCCAGACTGCTTCTTGAAGGCCCGTCACGGTACTGGGCAGCAGACCTCCGTGCTGGGGGCTCGCAGGCTAGATGGATCAGCTGCTCCAGAGGATGAGGACACCACCTCCCTCAGCTGAACTGGACAGTGAGCGTGGAGATATGGCCTCGGTTCTTGACAATACTATCAGTTGATGAAACAGGGTCAGTTGCTCAGACCTTTTGAGATGATTGCTTTATGCTAAAATGAGCCATGTTACCTGGTAGTAACAGGCACAAGGGCCTGAGCATGGAGGTTACTTACTGAGAGGACCAAGTGAGAATCAACAGTGCTGGTGGGGTGTATGTAGGAGTTACATACCCTTCCAAAAACTTTTTAAAACAACTGTCATCCGAGAGTGTAACCATTACCCACTGGGTGAGACTGGCCAACAGCTGACTTTGAAGAGTGTGAATGCGTTTCCTAAGCCCCACCACCACAGGAGCCGGCATGCAGCCTCAGGAAGACAGATGTGGAATGTGGCTCCATCTGGGGAAGTGGAAACTACACACAGCACCCACTTCTCACACCGGGATGAGCCCATGAACCATGGCGGAGATTTGCCTGCGTAAGGACCTGAGCTGTACTCCAGTCCAACAGAACCAGTCTCTGGGGAGGGGTCAATCTGTGCTTTAAAAAATTTCCAGTGACTTCTCCATGCACCAAAGCTAAGCACCTCTGGCTTGGAGTATTAAAAAAAAAAAGAGCTGGGTGTTTTGGTTCCAGGCAGTCACAGGCCAGTCACTCTGTTGAGGAACTCTCGTGGAGTTTAACGGCAGGGAGTGAAGAAAAGCGGGGAGATCCAAGAAAGGGGTGATCTGGGCAGGAGTAAACATGCAACACATTCATGAAGTTTTTTGCATATTTTTTCTTCAGAACTCATTCTTACAAAATACACACATCTCTTTGAAGACTACGTTTGCCATCCAGTTGGGCTTTTTTCCTTATTTTCACAGAAATATTTTCACTTTGTCCAATATTTTTTCACTGAGTTACAATAAAAATATGATTCACCTCTAATTAAAAAAAATAAATCAGGAAAGGGCAAGAAGGTATTAGGAGTGTACTCTTTTTATTTCTCTTTGGTTTCTTAACACAAAAGACATGCGTTCCATAAATAAAAGGAATGAAGATTTTCTGGGAAACAATAAATTGGGGGTAGGGAGAGTCAGAATTCCTACCTACTCACATTTCTGGGGCCAAGTCAAAAGGCTGGTCTTCAGCTCCCATCCGGGCTTTGCTCTCAGATGAAACCCAGAAGAGAAGGCTCCTTGTGTTATTACCTAAAGGTAATAACACAACCTAAGGGTAATAAATACCCAAGGATGGCTGATGCTGCGGCCTTCTGCTCAGAGCTGGGCTGGACCCCAAGGCTCACTGTTCATAGTGTCTGTCCCACGTCCTTTCCACAGTATCTCTGGGTGACGTCTTTTCTTTTCATGGTTTTCGTGGAAAGGCTCCAACACCAAAGGGTCAGACCAGCCACCTGTGAACAGTTATGACCACTGGACTGAGGAACCTACTGTGGGGAGCATGAAATGTTGGTGTCTGCGCACTTGTGCTCAGAGCCCAAGTCAAAGCACTGGCTTCACCTTACTCAGAAAAACACTGTAACTTCTGCGCCAGGAGGAGGCAGTAGGTGCAGGAAGGCCACCACCAGTGTGGCAGATCGTGGGAGACTGAGCTCTCAACCCCGATGGCAAAATCTGGGTCAGCATCCTAAGGACCTGGCAAGGCCCACGTGCTGATTCTTAACACATTCACAACTCAGGTTTGTCAGTGCTGTTGCAAATTTACAAAAGGAAGGGGCTTATAAGAAGAAGATGTGCACTGGGAACTCCTCTCTTAACAGGAAACACGGACCCCACCCTCCTTCCGAGTCTACCTCTAGAGGCAGACAGACAGGGAGTGAGAAATGCTGGAGCTCCACTGTGAGCCTGGGCTTAAACTGGATCAGGTTGTTAAGTCTTTTAAAATAAAAACATCATTTTCGGGTGCTTTTAGCAGAGGCCCAGCTCCACCTAAGTGGCAGGTGTCAAAGGTACTTCCTCTGGAAACATGGCGATTGCACACACTGGTAAACCTCCTGGTCCCAGGGTAGGAGAGATGTCTCAGATGCCACATTGTGCCTTTCTGAATGGGCTTCCAGGACACCCAGGCAGAGGCGGCAATGGGCAGGAGACCAACCAAGTAGAGACTGGGACCGTCAGACCCAATCTCGCGTTGGAAACGTATCCTCTCTTACGTCTCTACTGGAAGAATTTTAGGAAAACCTAATTTTGGCAGCAGCAGTTGAGCACCAGCTCCCCTGCCCAGTGCACTGGTCATGGAAGCGTCCACTCGTCGGTTTCCCGCTGTGCAATGTCAAGGTCCTATCCAGGGAGGGGGAAGGAGGAGCGTGGAGTCTCTTTAAGAGGTTGTTTGCTAAGATCATAGGAAGAAATATAAAATCCGTTCTTTGCAGCAGCAAGAGATTCTTTCGGCTTTTACTTCTTTGGGGCGTAAAGCCGGCTTTGCGAGAGTGTAAAGGTCCACCTTGCTGGTCTGTCTGCCAAGGGCTGGAGGGGAGGCCAGACCCCTGGAGTTGGCGAGTGGAAGGGGGAGCAGCGGACTGGCGGGGGAGAGGAGGCGGCTGGACTAAGCCAGCCCGGGGCTGGTGGAAGGACCAAGTCCCTGGTTAGTTTCTCGAGGTACAAAATGGTCGATGTGCCTCAGAAGCGTCATGATGAGGAAAACTATCCAAGAAGGACAGGTGGGCAAATGAGCATCTGGCCGGACCTGCTGTTTCCTGCTGGTCAAGGAAGGGAGGAACGCGAGTGGGGAGGTGCTCTGCATGAGCGCCATGGTGGCAGCAGGAGGGGACCACCAGGGCACGTGGAGCCCCTGGAGACGAGCTGGGAGCTCTCACCTAGAAGGGCGGCGATAAACTTAGCCAACTTGCTAAGCCTATGATTAAAAAAGTCCTCTGACAGTGGGTGTGGAAACGAACCCCGTGAGCACCGTGCTGCAGGACTGGGTGACAGTGCGCTGGTTCCTGACACGCAGGGGCTCAGAGGGAAACCTGTGTGCCCGGCGAGGCCTCGGGACCCTGGGATCCGAAGAACATGGGAGCAGACACCACCCTTTTCATGGTGGGTGGCGGTTTTCCATTTAAACATGTAACTGCCTTTTGTGTCTTTTGCTTTCTTCTTGCAAAAAAAAAAAATGCTCACTTGAAAACACTATTTTCCCTTCCAGTTTCTTTCAAGTGTTGCTTTAACTTTCCTTCAGTTTCCTTCAAGTATCTTTTTTTTTTCCCTCTCCCTCGGTTTCTCCCAAATAAGATGCAAAAGACCTCACAGCAATCCCAAAATTAGACACAGGAAAAGCTTCTGTTCTCCCTGCTTGCTCAGCAATGTAGACAAGAATCCTCTCAGCTCTCGGATGGAAGGAGGCGCAGGGGCCCACGTGCAGCTGGCCCTGCCATGCTGCAGGCGTGAAGTGAGGACCTCTGGCCTGTGTCCCCTCTCCTCCGGCCACATCCTGCAGTTTCCAGCAGCCTCGGTCATTGCAGCCGCACCATTGCAAACTGGCCATGATTCGGCTGGCGTGCGGTGGGCAAGGACTGTCAGAGAGAAAGCCCTCTGCAGAGGGGCGGCTCACGGCGCTGCGGTGGCTGGGAGGTGGGCTTGGATGGAGCCCGCAGACGTCTGGACCAGCCAAGCTGCCCTGTGTCACTGGCGGCCGGACCCAGAGGGGCTTCTGTCCCCCGCTGTGTATCTTGGTCACCCAGGCCTGAAGATCACAAGGGCTGCAACAGCAAGGGAGGACTTAAGCACCTGAAAACCTGGACCTCCGGCGAGCTCACGTTTCACCCTGTCGTCTGGTCCAGCACCTCTCCCCAGGGGGACGGTCCCCGGGAGGGAGTGCGGCCCGTGTTTGTACCAGATCCCTGCCCCACCACGGCCCACCCCTGTGCCTTAGATGGTGAGCAGAGGGATGCAGCCCACACCGACCCCGCCCTCGTGACAAGCCATGGGGGCCGTGAACGTCCAGCGGTCCGTGTCCGGGTCGTACATCTCCACCGAGCTCAGGTTGGACTGTCCGTCGTAGCCCCCCACGGCGTAGAGCCGCCCACAGCTGGCCACTAGCGAGACCCGGCTCCGGCGCGTGAGCATGGGCACGATCAGGCACCACTGGTCCGCCACCGAGCTGTACACCTCGGCGATGCTGAGGAAGCCTGAGCCGTCGTAGCCCCCGCACACGAACATCTTGCTTCCCAGGGAGGCGGCCCCGTGGCGGCAGCGCTTGTTGAGCATGCCGGCCGCCGGGTGCCACGTGGCCGTGTGGTGGTTGTAGTGCTCCACCTGCAGGGGAGAGGGGCGGTCAGGGCTCAGGCTCGGCCGCCGGCTGCCTGGCTGCCCTCAGCGCCTGGGGAGAGGCCGGGGGACGAGGAGCTCTGCCGGGCTGGGCCCTGGCCCCGATGCCCATGTTCCTCAGCTGCACACCTGCTCGTGAGAGGAGAGGGAGACGGCTTGGCCTAACCAGCTCTGTCTACACCCGCAGAAAGAAATCCAGGAGCTGCCCGCGATGCGCTCTGTGTGGTGACAGAGCAGTGGGAGTGCGGGGTATCCCGAGATCCCCACCGTGTGCTCCCCTTGCAGCCTGACTGATGCTGAAATGACCACTCAGTGGCTCTGGAGAACTTTTAAAGGAATAAATGCAATTTCAAGCCAAGCGGCCAGAAGAATGCAACTATCTGAAAGTTCCCACTCTATGATTGCATTTCCTCTGGGCAGGAATTTCACCAGGTCTTACGCGCTGTTCACTGAGGAAATGACCAGAGTGGGGGTGAGAGTGCTAAGGCCACACTCCAACCCACTCTGTGCACACGGGTTCCCATGCTCGGAGGCGGCGTTTCAGAGCATGTGGCAGATGGCCTGAGACCCAGAGATGACACTTTCCCTAGCAGTGGCAAGGCTGAGCCTTTTTCCAAAGAATATCCATTCAAAATAACTCTTGCAGATAAAGGGAGCAGGTGCCCTTAGCCCAGGAGGAGCCCAGACTCACGCTGCTGAAGATCTGCAAACCGTCGTGGCCGCCCGACACATAGATCCTGCCCTCGAAGACTGTAACCCCCGCGGCACTGCGGTTCGAGCTCATCGGGGTCACCACTGTCCACCTTCAGGAAAGAGGCAAAGGAGAAGGGGAGCCATGAGATCTGGGGGTCCTGCCCTAGCAGGACAGCAGGGGAGGATCTGGAGGAGCTGTGCTGTGTTCTGTCCCACCCTGGACAATCCCCCCAACTCTTAAGGCCTCCTCCACCACCTCTGCTCAGGTCACTCTGGCTGCAGCTTTTCACTTAAGCTTCAGGCCCACACACTCAAAGTAAGTCAGGACGCCCAAGGCCTCTCTGACAGATCTGCTCCTCCCTGATACCTCTGGTCTTGTGAATGGGAACATCAGCCATCTAGCTGCTAGATTTATAATTTCGGAACTTTTATGACTACTTCTCCATCATTAATTACCATTCTGTGGTCACCATGCCCCCGCTGGTTTGCCTCCTAGTCACTGCTTGTCCCCATTTCACTACTGCTTATCCCCATTTCACTAATACTCTGGCCTCTTGTGGGACCACTGCAACTGCCTGCTTTGGGGGGCCTGGCTTTCAGACCATTCCCATCCCAACAGGGCACAGAATGTCCTCTGATGACTCCTATTTCCTCTAAGGCGGACTCCAGGTTCCTTAACGTGCTTCTTCGCCACTGGGTCCTCATCCCCTTTCTAGCTGTACCTTCTGCCACGAGCCACCCACACCTGCTCCTCAACCTCACACAGCAGCTCTTTCTTATCTGCAAGCCTCTCTCCCTCTGTCTCTTCTCCTGGGATGCATGTTTCCCCTCAGAAGGTATCTCTGCAACCTGACTCTGGCCCACCAGCCGTGGGAAGACAAGAAGCCCTCCCCACTCTGTACCCAAGCGCTCCAGACACAGGCCCCCAGAGGAGGACCATTGCTGTGTGCAGTGGCCCCAGCAGATGAGGTGCTGCTTAAGCATCTTAGACATCCTGCTCGCTGCCTGACACTTAATAGGTTGGTTAAGTGTGTGGAATAAAGGCTTAAATGCACTGTGATGGATCCAATGTGTTTATACTGTTGGATTCAAATACTGAAATGAAAAGCTTGGGCTAACCTTGCTGGTGTTTTTCAAAGAGTGTTCCGCAAAATGAGACCACAGGACAGTGACAGATAAAGTGAAATTAAAGAGGCTTCTCTACTGCAGAATTTCACAGTCTTTTAAAATGTTAATATGTGTTATGGGAAGATGAGGCCTCTGGTGGTATAGACATCAGTTTCCCAAGTTTCTTTAACTATTTAATGTGTAACTTCTTTCCCCCCCAAATCATATTTTACCCATTTTGCAAAGTGCTGTTCATCTATTTCCCAGGCCCTTTCAACTGCATTTCCATTAAAATGAGCTGATTTATTTAAGTGGTACAGAGCATTAACAAATGCTTCCAAGTACCTATGCAGACTACTTGTTTTTAAAATTTATTTAAACATTCATTCATTTAATCAAAGGTGGTTAAGTACCTATTACCTATTACATGCAAGGAAGTACAGGTGCTAGATTTCCCTGGTGACTCAGACAGTAAAGAATCTGCCTGCAATGCGGGAGACTGGGGTTTGATCCCTGGGTTGGGAAGATATCCTGGAGAAGGGAACAGCAATCCACTCCAGTATTCTTGCCTGGAGAATTTCATGGACAGAGGAGCCTGGAGGGCTATAGTTTTATGGGGTTGCGAAGAGTCAGATGCAACTGAGCAACCAACACTCACCACAGGGGCTAAATAGGAGAGACCTTCCTTAACCTCGAGAGGTGTGATTAAAGCTGTTCTGGTTTTCATACTGTGTTTAGCAAGCTCCAATGCCCCAGGGGAGCTGGACTCCTTACTTGTCTGCCTCAGGTGAGTAGGTCTCCACAGAGCTGAGAGAAGCGTTGCCATCGTAGCCACCACAGACGTAGATCTGTCCATCCAGCACGACCGTGCCCATGGCACTGAAACAGACACAGCTGTCATCCCAAGGGCTTCAGACTTCCCGGGGCAACATCTCTTGTACGGAGAAGTAAGCCGAGCCCCCAGCTGCCTCCTTCTAGAACAGACCTAAATCCCAGGGGTGTGCCTAAGCAACGGTGTAAAATGGAAACGGAACTGCCCTGTGGTTCCTCTTGCCTCCTGCCATTCCCGCCCGGGGTACCTCCTCCGCCTCCTCCTCAGTCCTTGATATGCTCTTCTGCCCTGCCGTGCTCAGGGTCGGATTCACCTTTAAGGCCCGGGTCAAATTCCTCCCTCTTCTCCTCCAGAAGCCATCCTGGACCCCCAGCAAGAATGAGTCCCTGCTGACCCCACCCTCCCAGCACAGCTTTGTCACAGCTGTGAGTCACCCATTCGTCCAGCACACCAGGCCCTCACCAGGCACACTGTCCAGGGCGCCGGGTCGAGAGAGCCAAGCAAGCCAAAGGCCCTGCCCGGAGGGGTACCAGACATCGGGCTGCCACCTCTTCACAAGTGGGGACCCCCTGGAAGACGGGGGTCCTCACAGTGTGACCCTGACACTGCTAAGTGTGGCGCTTTGTACGGAACAAGCCCTCAACACATGGGTGACTGTGATTTCCCCACACAATTCACTGCAAGGAATGGCAGACATCTCTTTGTTACATACACGGCCCTGCATGTCCCCTAACTTGTCTGAGGGGTGAGGCAACAGTTCCTGTTTATTTCACACCCACTGCACACAGCAGGCGCTCTCTACTTGCTATTTCCCACCCTCAGCACGTCCCACGGGAGGCATCACCATCACTCCCGCAGAGCTGAGCAGCTGTGGCTTGAGGAGGCCAGGAGATCTTCTCAGGGCTGCCCAGAGGGGCCTGCCTTGGATTTCAATGCCACAAGCCTGTCTCCCACACTGTTCATTGTGCCAAACTCTCCTAATACCAAAGAACCAGGGGTCTGGTGTAATCATACAGTCTTCTGGTCTACACAAAGCCTCATGAAAAATGAAACATGAGTGCCAAGCTGCCCGAGTCACTGTGTTCAGACCTGATGCTGGAGAAGATTAAAAACGAATCTTGGTGTCTAACAGTAAAATGAAGAATACCAGGCTTTACGGCCCCCTTTCAAATATACACAGCAAATCAAAGTGATGCACCTGATATCCCTGAGCCAGCCTGAAAGAGGACAAGGACTAGCCTGAGGAGAGGACTGTGGGAAGGTCACAAACTCACAAGACATGTCACTGTCCTTCTAGAATTAGACAAAAGTAACAACTGGGGAATTCAACAAAAATGTGAGAAAGGACTGAGATGTACCACAAAATCACATGAGATTAACTTTCAGTGCAACGGCGAAGACAGTGTGAAGAGATAAGGGGAACTACCCACAACTGCACTCACTTCATACGCCAGCAAAGCAATGCTCAGAATTCTCCAAATCAGGCTTCAACAGAATGTGAACTGTGAACTTCCAGACATTCAAGCTGGATTTAGAAAAGACAGAGGAACCAGAGGTCAAATTGCCAACATCTGTTGGATCACAGG